CAGTTTTTTGTGCGATTTGAAACTTTTTCAAAATTCGAACCAAAATGGGACAAAGTCATGTGACTTCCGCCTTTAGGTGTCCTGCACTATACCTCTGATATTAGAAGTATTTCAAATATGAAAACTTCTTCGAATATAGAATATATTTCAGATATAGAGTTAAACTTTGATTCTGAACATGCGACTGGTACTGATTTTCAAAGTAATATCAATACTGCCAGAGAAAAATTTGTAGAAAAATCTATAGATGAACCAAGTACCAAAAAGATTCAGGTCAGATTTAATAAATTAGATAATTCTAAAAAAAGAAAAAGCTATGTTTGGAAGTACTTTGAAGAAGAAGAAGAGAAAGAGGAAGATGTTTGTAAAATAATTATTCTTACAAAAGGTGCAGAAAAAGTGTGTGGAAAAAACTATAAGCATGACAGATCAACTAGAAACATGAAACTGCACTTATAGACAGAACATAAAATCTTTACACCAAATGAATTAGAATCAAATTTAGATGAAAAACGTCAATTAAATATAGCTAAAATGTTTAAAAGAGTAATTCCACATAGCAAATCTAAACAATTGGGACTAAAGCGTGTTATAGCTGAATGGTTAGTTACAAATTCTCTTCTCTTTAATGTTGTATATGGAATGGGGTACCGAAAAATAATAAATTGAATCGATCCTGTATTTATATCACCAAGTAACAAGTATATTAAAAAAAATTAAAAGCTGCTTATAATTAGGTCTTAATAAATTGTTTTAAGCCATTTATTTACCAACTTCAAAATTAATAATTTCTTTATAATCTTCTGGATCTAGTAAATAATCTTTGGCATATTTAAATTTCAGTGCTTTAATACTTGGATTAACAACCAAAAGTGTAGCATATTTAATTTCACTAAAGTAGATTGTTAATTCCTCAAAAAACTCAAATGCTCCTATTAACATTTTCAAAAACTCCCATTTATTATCTTCAAGCATATATTTTTTTAATCTATCAGAATCTTCTTTGGTGCTGTCTTCATTCTTTAGGTGTAATGTTGCCGAAAGCCACTTAATCCTGAACGTAATTTTAAAAGCTTTTGCCAAGATTGATAAGCTGAGTTCTAACATATTTTTACATTCTCAATAGTATGCAAGATAAATTTTAGTTTTTTATTTATTTCTAACTCTTCACTTTCTTCTTTTTCAGGTGAGTCTTTAGCAATATTTTCAGAATTATGAATTTGAATAATAGGCTTTGTAATGCTTTTTTAATAGTTTAAGGTAACTTGTATCTCATCAAGACATTGACTTTGCTTTGAAGATCAAAAAAATTTAATAAGCTTACAAATTTTATTAGTATATAGATATATAAATTTTAGAGCCTAAACAACTGTGAGTTAGATTGTATATATGGCACAAGGCAGCTGATTTACACCATTCCAAAGTCTTATAGCTTTCTTCATATTGGCCCTATTGTCTGTTATTATGCAAAGAATTTTTTCAACTAATCTGAATTCCTCAACTTTTGCATTTAGATATTCTTTTATCCATTCACTTGTGTGTGGATGATTAAATTTTTCAACAGCAAGTAATGTTTCACATATCTCAAATTCAGGTATTAACTAATGAAGAGTTATATCGATATATAATGTGAAGTCAATAGAAATAGAACAAATTTATTAGATAAATTTGTTCCATTTCTATTGACTTCACCCCATATCCATCGTTACTTCAAGCTATCCATAAGTTAGTAGTTATGGATGACATTTCACAAGTAGTAGAAAGTAAGTTTTTAAGTTCTTTTATATCCTTTTGATAAGCAATCTCAATTTCTTTTTTAATATACTTGTTACTTGG